CTGATTCCTATCATTTTTTTTTTTTTTTAATATCTAGAAGCATAGCTTGGCTATTGAATTTGGTTTCCGATCTGGTTAAATGCATATTTATGAAATGTTTTGTTTATGTGTTGCATTTCATGTTTAGTTTGCGGTTGTTAATTTTTTATTTAAATTTACTGTAGGCAAAGCCCAAGGCATCAGATATTGCTGCTGAAAGCAGGCTTGGAATGCAGAATCATGATGTTGATTTCATTCCAATTGTCCGCTCTGGAGCATGTGCTGACATTGGGTTCCGAACAACCATGGAAGATGTATACCTATGCGTTGACAATTTTATGCATCATTATGGGCTCAAGAATTTTACTAATGGGCCAAGTGCCTTTTATGGGGTATGTTTCTAATTTCTTCCTGCATTACTTCTGTTACCTCTAAGTTGTTTGTTTTATAACTGTACTTGTGGTGCAGAAATAATTTTGATCTGACTTTCTTTGTTGCATATTCTTACCTATGAAATACTACTTCCAAATTGGGAATTTTGAAATTGATATAACATGTTTAATAATCTGAGGTCCTGAAGAGCCTTGTGCTGATTGTTTTGTAGTTTATTAGATCAATGTCAAGAGCAATTTGCAATCTTTTTTTCCTGCTTGATTAATGTTCTGAAGTCAAGTTGAAATTCATCAATGATGTGAAATTTGTATCAACATGGTTTGTGCCAAGATAATATTAGTGCTAGTAAACAAATTGTTGATTGCTGATGTGTACACTAGCAGTAAAGCAGTGGTAGTAAAAATGGCAATTTAGTGCTGGTTATAATCTGGTTCATGTTGTTGACATATTAGTTATGCTTTTAAAGGTGGTCACTGCCATAGCAGAGATGCTTTGTAAATGGGCCTTTGTCAAATTAGATTTTGGGGTTGATGTAAATGAACAGTTCTCTTAGTTCTATGCATTTGTATGCGCATTTGATGTTCTCCAATTCAACATTAATCTTTTATTTGGTTGTCAGGTTTTTGATGGACATGGTGGGAAGCATGCTGCTGATTTTGTTTGCTCCCATTTGCCAAGGTTCATTGTTGAAAATGAAGACTTTCCAGTGGAGATTGAGAGAGTTGTTGCTTCAGCATTTCAGCAAACAGATACTGCTTTTGCAGAAGCTTGTCAGCTGGATGCGGCCCTTGCTTCAGGGACCACTGTTTTGGCAGCCCTTGTTGTTGGGAGGTTAGTATGTGTCCAAGAACAAGTTCCATAAATATATATATTTTTTTCATATTCAAGTTTGCTTGTTAGTTTGCTTGTTTTGAGTTATTTTCCCTTGAATAAGCAGTTCTCTAAGAATCTCACTGGTAAAATGCATCTATGATGCTCACCTTTGCCATTCTCTTCTCCTTTTATTTTTGAATCCCCCTTTTTCTAGTGGTTCGGAATAGTTAATCTATTTTCAGTGTGGCATTCATATTAAGTGTCCTGCATTATAGCATAAAGCAATGAACAGCTACTGTTTTAATCACAGTCATGAATGGTGTTATCCATGCAATGTTGTCATCACATTTAGTTACTGCCATAAGGGTCTGTCATTCTTGTTTCATATGGTGGGTTCATTGCTTCTTTGTTGATCTTTTCCAATTGCAGATTGCTAGTGGTGGCTAATGCTGGAGACTGTCGAGCGGTACTGTGTCGCCGTGGCAAAGCAATTGAAATGTCTAGGGATCATAAACCTAATTGTAACCAAGAGAGGGAGCGCATTGAGGCATCCGGAGGTTATGTTAATGATGGTTACCTTAATGGACAACTCAACGTGGCTCGTGCTTTAGGAGATTGGCATATGGAAGGACTGAAACGTGTGGGTGGTGGGCCACTAAGTGCTGAACCTGAACTCATGACCAGAAAACTAACAGAGGAGGATGAGTTCCTGATCATAGGATGTGATGGTCTCTGGGATGTGTTTCGAAGCGAAAATGCAGTGAATTTTGCACGGCGGAGGCTTCAAGAGCACAATGATCCAGTCATGTGTAGCAAGGATCTCGTTGATGAGGCTTTGAAGAGGAGGAGTGGAGATAATTTATCAGTTGTAGTTGTTTGCTTCCAACCCCAAGCACCCCCTAATTTGGTTGCTCCACGTTCAAGAGTTCATAGGAGCTTTTCTGCGGAGGGATTGAGAGAGCTGCAGAGCTTCTTGGATGGTGTTGGAAATTGAGATAATGACGAATGGGTACTCTTTTTCTATTCTTCCGTACATTTTCCTTCCAAATTCCAATTCAATAGTTTCATTGTAGTCTTAGATGGAGGATTTGAGATCCAACTGTAACATATGCGGCGGTGGCATGTTGGAAACATAAAATTCCTTTCTTGTAGAAGTTTAATTTGCCTGCTGTACCATTCTTTGGGGCACTTGTTGAATTTATTACTTATTCCATGACTCTTATTACTTAGATTAACTTAGAATTTCATGCACTAACCTTGTTTGTGATTGTAGAAATATTGGCTGATTTTGTTGTTTGATACGGTGACTAGAAAATGCGGTACAATCTGTTGTTCCAAAAAAAAAAAAGAAAAAAAGAAAAAAGGAAAATAGAGTACAACTACAGAATTCATTCAACAAAAATTATGCACAAAACATCTTTCTTAGTGAGCTTGATTGGTTTTTTTATCTCTTCTGGAAGTTGAATGCCTTGATTGAGAAGCCGAAGATGAATCCAAAGAGCACGGCAAATCCAACAATCACAATTGCTACTACCCACAGGAAGTCTGTTTTGTAATCGAAGTAAGTCCTTACAAAGTGCTCCACGGTTTCTCCTGTCTCAAACTTTTCCTGTATGTCTCCAAACTGTGAAGCAACCAACCCGTACAGGGTCCAGGCAACTGGGCAGATCCAGTAGTACCATATCCACCATACAGGGATCCTCTGTAACCGAAAAGTTTTAGTCTCATTAGGATATGATCTCATCGTGTGTATCAAGGAAATGCACTTGGATTAGACAAAAAGATTACCGTTCGTGGAATGAGGAAGCCGGAGAAGAGATTCCAGATGGCGACAAAGGCCGATGAAACAATGGCAGATATGTTATGGTTGGGAGTGACGGCTACTGCCATCATTCCGTAGAAAGTGAAGTACAACAAGGTGAAGTACATGAAGAAGAGATACCAGAAGAACTTGGCAGCCGTCCACTCGAATCCTATCATTGCATACACTATTACTCCGTATATGACAGTTTGGATCAAAATGTATGGCAGCTCAATCACTACCTGCAAAACCAAATTGTGGATTCAGTTGGCTACGTGCAAACTGGTTCGGGGATACCATGAATGTAAAACGAAAAATGGAAACAGAATTGGGACAAAGTAAACAGTACCTGTCCAAAGGCGTAAGGCATGGCTGAGTACATTCCAGCTGCTCTTTCTCTGTAGAAAACTGTTCTTTCAACCGCTACAACAGGTTGCACTGATGCAGAGTTCTGAAACCCTATGAAGAGAACGGCAGCATACATAGAACCCATTGCATTCAAAACATCCTGTTGCCTTGTCCTGCAATTTCCGACATTTCAAACAGATTCAGAGTATGCAACAGGTACTGAAGATGTGTTGAGGTGAAATGAAGGATGCATACCTTTTGGAACCGAGATTCCAGAATATTGTCCCAAACATTAAAGCTATAAAGGTTGTGAATAAGAATCTGACGGCTGTGTACGGGGGATTTCGCCAGTAAGACCAGTACTGTTTCCACAAGCAAGCCATACATTGGGTGAAGAAAGACTGTGAGTATCTTGTTGGGAAATATAGGTCTTTGGAACCTGGTGAAGGAGAACTTAGTTCCTTGATCAACTCTTTATTTCTCCTATATAATTCTGAGTTCTTGTATATATTAGTGAAGTTGACACCAATAGCTGCTTCTTGGGCTGCTGAAGTAATCTCCAACATCCATGTTGCAGGGTTGTAGCCATCTTTTATCTTAGGAATTCCATTGATTTCCTTCATGGAAAACAAGAGTAGTCTCCGTAATCAAGCAGCAAAAAATGGGAAAGATTTGAGTAAATACCACTTGCTTTTGATACTGACCTCGAAGTACTTTATCAGATGGCAAGAATGCCGGCCTAATGGACCTACATATATTTCTTCACCTCCCCTTTTCAGCAAAAGCAACTGTGAATTTGGCATTAATGTGTTGGCTCATTAGTTTCTGAGACTAAAACAGATTGGTAGCTTGAAAATGATTATTATTATTTCGCACCTCATCAAAGGCATCAAATATATCAATGCTTGGCTGGTGGATGGTGCAAACAACAGTTCGTCCTGTGTCTACCGTGTTCCTCACTGTTCTCATTACAATGGCAGCTGCCCTGGCGTCAAGGCCAGAAGTTGGCTCATCCATGAATATTATCGAAGGGTTGGCAACAAGCTCCACTGCAACTGTTAGCCGCTTGCGCTGCTCTGTAGACAGACCATTCACCCCTGGTAATCCGACCAGTGCTTCCCTCAATGGGGTCAACTCCACAAGTTCCATCACTTCTTCTATGAACATCTGCTATCCATAAAGTTTTTAGTAATCAAGGACCTGACAGAATTGCCTAAAGAAAGAAGGAAATATTTCTTGTTGAGGAAGAAACAGATACCTTTCTTGTTGCAGAATCAACCTCACGAGGAAGCCTGAGCCAGGCAGAGAAAAGCAAGGACTCATAGACTGTAACATGAGGGGAATGGATATCTGTTTGCTCACAGTAACCTGATATACGAGCAAATGTTTCTTGCTTCTTTGGGTATCCTGATATCTTGATGGTTCCTTCAATGTAACCCCCAGTTTTTCTTCCTGCCAACACATCCATCAAAGTAGTTTTTCCAGCACCACTAACCCCCATCAGAGCTGTCAGGACACCAGGCCTGAAAGCACCGCTGACCCCTTTCAGAAGCTCCAGCCTATCTTCAGGAATACCTTGAGCTTTCATTTCCTGCAAAGCAATATGAGAAACAGTTCAGCATGTTGTCGAGTAGAATCAGTAGCAGCTGCTCCTCAGAAGGTGTGAAGATACCTGTGGCATGTCTACAGCGTATTTGATTTCATCAAAAGTGATTGAAAGGGGCTCAAAAGGGAGAACCATCCCTCTCCTGTTCAGATTTTCTTCGTTGATACTGCCTACTCTGGCAGATAGTGTCCTGGATGATGCACTTCTATGGCTTTCTTTATCCGGTTCTGCATTATCTGATGATTATGTTACAATATCTAGAAAGTTTACACAAGGCAGCACTAAAGAAGCATAACTCACCAGAAGAGCTTTTTCCTCTTGATGATAGCTCAATGGACTGCACAGCCTTGTCAGCCTGCTTCTCTGCCAAGGTTTCTCTGGATATGATAGCTTGAGGCTTCCCAAATGCTGCATATTAACTCATCATTAGAACATTAGCTCTTGCAAATTCGAAGGCTCGGAAATTTGTAAGAAGACAACTTACGATCAAGATACTTCAGAGCCACGGTGAAAAGGAAATTGAATAGGAAACAGTATCCAATCAAAGTGCCAACTCCAATCCAGTACCAACGTGCCTCTGGAAAAATTCCACGAGACTTCAAGACCGAAATTCCTAGTGACTCTGTTGAATTTGGTGGAATCTACAAGAGAAGTGTTTTCATGCACTCATATCATCACTTGGGAATAAAATCTGCTTTGATTCTTCAAAATTCAAGGAAAAATACGTGTTTTTGCTTACATGTCTCCAACTCTTGCCAAGAAATTCATTCACAGCAATGGAATTCTGTGCATACATCATGGGTGAGATCCAGTAACCCCACAGCCACCATTTCTTTATATCATCTGATGCAGAAGAAAGTACCCTTCACAATCAAAACCCAAAAGGCATGGTTGTGAAGAAACAAAAAGAAAGAAAATCTGTTTTCACCTCGAGATAGGATAAATCCTCCCATAACGAGAACAGCAAGTAAAGCAAATGAACCACATGTGTTTGCCACAATTATACTTCTTCCTATTGATCCCATAAATCGGAACATCCCTGATGCCATCTGGTTCACACATAGGAGCAGAAGGAACTGCTTGAAGAACCTGTGGTGAAGAACTTTAGTTTGACTATGGACAGCAGAATATGAAACTCATGACTAAAATTTAAGTGAGGTTTTAGATCTCCTTACGTTCCAACATTTGGATCAAAGCCTATGACATAATAAGTCATGATCACCCAAATGGTGACTTCTATAAAAGTGATTGGGATCTTGAGAACCCATGTGGGAAGAGCATATGCCCATGGAGGGTAGAAGAGAAAGTCCCTTTGCTTGTAGAAGACAGGGAGTTTCAAGATGGTCATGGCGAGTTCGGAGAATCCATTGAACATTATCATAATTAGAGTAAAGAATAGAGCACCTAAGTAGACACCACCATCTGTTTCTGTTTCCCGGTGCATCTCCGTTCTTAGGAACAGTGTCATTGTTATAAATGCCATGAGAATGAGCTGAAATTTTACAGAAAACTATCATATAGCTGTCATTTGAAACCAGAAACTCAATCATTTTCTGTTGGAGCTCTGCTTACTTGGGTCAATTTGAATACGTAGACAAATAAGTTCCTCTTCATAAGCAGAAATTCTCTGGAGGCACAAGCTTTTAATAATTCCTTCTTGTTAACACCATACTTCTCTTTTGTTAGAGCAGCAGGGTGGCTTTTGGACTTGTCAAATGGAGTTGCAAGCTCATCTCCTAGTTCCCGACCAACATGAAACGACTGGAATGCTTCTGCAAATTCCAAGGAAGTCACAAAGCTGTGAGGCTCGTCTCTGCGTGCCCAGTACTGCCCTTGATCTTTCCTTGATGTCACCTAGTTGCAAAGGAAAAATGAATCAAATAAATTTTCAAACAGGTTCTAAAACCTTTAATACCAAAACAGGTCAGAAACTGAGCTTGATATTGTGTTAGAATTTACCTCTTGCAAGAAGTCAGCAACTCCTTTCCTCTCAGGACACTTGAATCCCATGCATTCAAAGAACTCAAGCACATTTTCTCGGGGACCTTGGTACACAATATGTCCATCTGAGAGGAGAATTATGTCATCAAACAGGTCATATGTTTCCGGAGCTGGCTGTAGGAGGGAGATAACAGCAGTTCCACTGAGGATGTGGATGGACTGCCTTAGTGAGTTCACAATCTGGAATGTTGTTGAACTGTCCAAACCAGTAGATATCTCATCCATGAACAATGCCCTAGACGGTCCAACCAGCATCTCCCCTGAATGTTACGACACACACAAAAAAAAATGATGGCTTAAACTTCTGCAATTATCAGACAGGTTTTGTCCATGTTATATTAGTATTCACCTGTTGTAACTCGCTTTTTTTGTCCACCAGATATGCCTCTTATCATTTCATCTCCCACAAGGGTATCAGCACAAACTTCAAGTCCTAATATCTGCAGAATTTCAAGATTATTAAACTGATATTCACAGTTACAGAGATTCCTTTTTTTTTTTTTTTTAAGAAATTTGTACCTTGAGTACATAATCTGTGACTATACTGGCCTCTTGACCTGCTAATGATGCTGCCTGCAGGATTAAATACTACTTCTGTCATTTTCTAAAACAACAGAACCTGTCAATTACTGCAAAAAATGCGTATATACGCTTAGAATAATTGTGTAACGTCTTCTACCTTCATATAGACATCAATATCAGGATCTGGCTTGATATTTGCTGCTTTCTCTCTTCTCGATAGTTCTGCCAACATCTCTGCCAATTTCCAAAGAAAAAGAAACATTTATATATAAATAGTTATGTATGTGGCTACAGAATTCTTCAGAAAATAGTTGATATATAGTATTTCAACTGACCATATCTAGGTCCGACCCCTTGACATCTAGCTGAAAAGGCCAGTGTTTCTCTAACTGTCATTTCTGGTATGTGTAGATCATACTGACTTATATAAGCAGATGTCCTCTGTGGAACGAACTCTTCCATCCCATGTCCATTATAAGTAACACTCCCAGAAAACTGAATTTTCGAACATACTTGTGTCATATCATAAACATCTGTCAAATATTCTCAAGAAAGAACTTGAATTTGCAACTGAAATCAACTGGTTTCTTACTTTTAAATCTTTTCCCAGTTTTCCAGCTAGAGCCAATAGTAATGTTGTCTTGCCTGAACTTGGGGGACCTAAGAGCAATGTCATTCTGTAGAAATTGGATCAACAGAAATGATCAGTTTGTCGGTTCAGGGGATTATTATCATGAATTCTGTGTCACAATCAGTCTTTTTGTTACCTTTTTGGCTTGATAATTCCACTGACATCACTGAGGATTGGTAATGGCTTCCTTCTACTTGGAAGAATATGAAGGTAATTGAAGATACCCTTTAGCAACAGAACCACCAGATGGGGTTAATATGAGTCATATATAGGTGGAGAGTTTAATAAACCGTGTTTGTTCCTCGAGAAAAAAGGTTAAATCACCTCAAACATATTAATGGAAAAGTTGAGTATGGTAGGCAATGCTCTACTCCCCACGTAGGCTTCTGCTGCAACATTCAAATTCTCGAACCGAACTTCAATTGTTGGAATATCAAGTCCAACCCTGTGGAAAAAGAAAAAAAAAAATGCATTAATGCAATGAAATTAACTGCATCAACAGACACAGAGAACGTCAAGAAATGAAATTTACCGCTCTATTCTTTCTCTGAGCTTGAGCAAGAACTTCTCATTGTCTTCGTCTGCAATTTTGACCAGCCTTTCCAACAGATTCCTCCTCTCTACGAATCCAAGATCCTTGATATCAACTTCTTCTCCGGTAAGGATGCCTCTCCTTACACGTAAATATGTAGGCAGTTTCTCGATTGCGGCCCACTTCAAGGCTTCTTCATCATCTTCCTCTCGAGAGGAGATGGAGAATATCTCCCTGGTGCTGTTCCTCCAGATGCTAGAACTACCAATGCGTGCACTGCTCACTCTGTTGCTGTATATCTCCACCACCCCAGGATCCATTTCTAACAGAATTTTCCAGTGCACTCAACAAATACAGGAGGGGGGTGGAATATATATCACTTCATAAGGTGACGAGCATCAGATTGTTGAGGTAATGGCATATATCACACCTACTGTAAGCATAGATTGAAATATAATAGTTGATGCTATGTCAAAATATGGCCACAAGGAACACAGCCCTTTTGTGGAGTAAAACCTTTGAAAAGTCCAAAGGAAGCCAAACCACAAACATTAAAATATATCAATTATTTGGAAATCTCAACTGCTCCGTTAATTTACCAACTAAGACCAAGACTGTACGGTAGAAATTGAAAATTTTAACTTGATTAATTAACATTTTAACTAGCATTTAAGTTTTCAAGCCGAAGCAGCGGGAGAATTTGACAAAAAAAACTTGTGATAGCCAGAAAGAACAATTTTTTGTTTAGTTTAATTATTCAAAAATAATTATAATATTTTTGATAATTAAATGAAGGAGTTGAGAAAAATCAAGTTGTCATGATAATTAAAATGCAAGTATTGATAAATAAAAGACTTAAAATACTTTTAATTAATCAACATATAAAAAAGATTCATTAATAGTTTTTGAACAATTTCACAAAAATTCCTAACATTTTAAAATGTGAGGATATTTTAATTTGTACTCTCTTTTTTCAAATGAAAGAGCGTTTTAATTATAAAAAATAATTGATACATTATCTTATTCAATACATTTATTAAAAAATTATTATTTTTAAATTTAAATTCAAGACAAAAACTTTTAATTGTAAATTTTAATTACTAAATTAATAAGTATTGATGATTGTCTTAAATCAGACCAATCATTTTTCTTTAAAAATATATAACAATCAATATTAGTTATCAAATATGGATTGTGCATCCTGGCTAACATTGAATGTTACTTCAAAACGATTCTGCATAAAATATATAGGAATTAATGTATTAATACATGCATGTTTCCCGGGTTTGTTGATCTGACAAACTGATTGATTTGTCACACTGATTTCCTATCCTTGAAGGTGCAAATTTGCAATTATAAATGCATATGAAATTGGTCTAGGAATGTGCTGCTGTGATGCCTTCGTTATTTTTCAATCATTTCTGGATTTGGATTGTACAGTATCAAATTTTTTATTCAAACCCTTGATTTGTAAATCTCTTTGCACATATTAACGGAGATCATCTTGATCAAGAGGCACATGCAACCTAACTAATTTATGTTTTTCCTAGTTTCCAAGAAAATAAGCTCCTCTTCTTCTTATTCTTCTGTTCTTATAATCTATCAATCAAAGGTGAAAACCTAAGCTTCCCAACTTGTGCGGCAAGCGACTGCCAGTGAGTACGTTTGGACGTTCAAACTCCACCTGTTCCTTTTAGTATGGTTATTCAGAGAATTGGATTGGGTTTCGCTGGTGTTTTTCTTGTGTTTAATTTATTTGTGTTCCATTTGACGGACATAAAATAATTAAGAAGAAAGGTTTTCGTAATAGACGTCTGCGCTTACCTCAACTTCATTTCATTATAAAAATTAATTTCTTTTTTTTTATTTAAATCAATTAATGTGCGTTGAACATTTTTCCGTTAGTATTTTCCAATTCCCCCTCTCCAAGTAAAGCGATCATGCACATTGTCTAATTTATATGATTTATTAAGAATGGTGATAGGATTAGGATTTGGTTTGCCTTTTCAAAAAAAAAAAAAGGGAAAAAAAGAAGAAGTCAGATTAGGATAGAGAAAGAGAGAGTATCTATTTCATCTTTGACTTGGCTCTGCAAATTAATGCTGACAATAATCCGTTTCATGTGTAGCAAATCCCCTGCAGCAGCGGACAAGTTTTGTTTGGATCATACGTTAAATCTTCAACTCCCCCCTTTTTTTTAAATAGGCAATGAAAAATCTATCACTTTTGTGATTTCATAATATATATTAGTAATTTATGTATGGTTCATGCATCTTGCGGGCTGCAAGGTTTAATTTTAGATTCACTTGCTACAAATGAGATTTAATTTTAACTCTTTAACTTTATAAATCAGATTAAGTTTATTTTTTTTAAAATAGAGAAAAAAAGGGCAAAAACATAAAAAAAAAAAAAAAAAAGGGGAAAAACCAAAATTGAGACCCCAAAACAAAAGATTGCGCAAAATTCACATCTCAAAAATAAAAAAAATATATTTTTAAACTTTCTATCAAAAAAAATACGAAAAATATATGAAAATGCACATATTTAGACCCCCAAAACCTAAAATATACACATATTAAAAAAAAAAAAACAAAAAGGAAAGACAAAAAAAATACAGAGATAGAGAGACACAAAAAAAAAAAACACAGAAAACAAAAAAAAAACACATTTTACAAAGAAAAGAGAAAAAAAGAACAAAAAAAAAGTTAAAAAATAAAAATTATATAAAACCTTAAAGTTGAGGGACCAAAATTAATATTTACCCTCAAAAATTTGAGGTGTAAAAAGGGTTATGATTAGGACTCTCCAACTTCAATTATTGAACATAAAAAAATAGGTGTTTTGGACCTTTTAGGTACTTATGCTGAGATGAAGCGCACAATGAATTGAAGGGGTTCAAAATTGGATTGCCTCATTAGAAAGCGACGGGTAGAATCACTCCTCCATGCAAGGCATGAGTTAATTGCAGCTCTAATACAAGCCAAAAAAGACAACATTTGCCATTTAGTACAATATAACAAAAAACGAAAAAATGTGTTAGAGATCTTATATTCAAATCTTGAAATATGTGAGAAGGGATTGAAGAAAGGTGCTATCTCTAGGTATATAACCCATCATATATTTGATGTATTAAAAAAGAAAAAGTAATAAATACATATTTATATATTTAAACAAAAAAGAAAAATAAAGCCGGCTTTATATTATCAAATGAAAGTGATTATAACCTAATTTTAAACAGTATGTACCATGTGATAATTTTTTAGGTTTTTGTTTGGTTTAATTTTTTTTGAATAACTATATATTAGTTATATTGACTTTAATTAGATGGATAGAAGTGTGTAGAAAACCTAAGGATCAACATATTTATAAATGCATATCGTTTTATAGGTCAAATTTAGAATTCAAATCTTGGGGTTAGTATTTAAAAAAATTAATTTTCTTGAATGAATTAGATCAATTTAAGGGGTATGTCATTAAAATTGCCTAACAAAAAATAGTCTTGAGATATATAAAAACTTATCTGCAAATAGTTTAATAGTGAATACAAAACAAAAAAAAGGTGTTTAGATTATAAATAACAACCATCATATGTTGAATATTAGTTAATAACCATTAGATATTCTCCAATAATTAACTAGATCAAACATAGAGCTTAACTCATACAAAAAAGGGTTTTGCACTTAGAACTTCAAAACATTAATTGTTAGATTGTAATGACCCTTGATAAAGGGTGCAAGCTTTTCCATTTAATAACTAATATTTTATAATTTGAATTGTAAAATATTGAAATTTATAAATCGTATTTATATATGTGTTAGGGTATTTTTGAAGCACTATAGTCTTATTATATGGTTTTAGATTCCTTTTAGGTTAAGTTTCACATTGAAATGGTCCCTACATGGTGTTAGTTTTCCCCTCACTTTCTTTCCCTTCACTTTCAGATTGTATCCAAATTAAAGATACGACGAAAATGGAGAAGAAGAATATTTCAAGTCTAAATGCCAAACCGCTCACATGTACATGGAATCCTTTGTTGATGAAAATTCCTTTGTTTCATTGTTCTTTGCTGAGGATACAAACAAGACAAGAGCTAGAGTACATTACTCTGAGCATATATACGGTCGTATATACCTGTCACTATCTACCATTGAGTTGTCTTGGAAACTTAAAAAAATTTAAAACGAAAGGAAAATTAGGAGAGTAGTCCATCTTAAAAAAGAAAAAAAAAAAGGAAGCAAAGTCAAACCCATCTATAATTTTCTATTACATGAATTGAGAATTAATAAAAGTTATACGATTAATTCACATGTTATCAAAAATAATTAATAAAAATTAATTACTATATATAATATTATTTTTAATGGTTAGAATCACTACTTTTGATTCCAAATTAAAATCTTTTATAATTAGTAAGTACAAATTTAGTCCAACAGCTTCAACAGTCCTAAAAATAATTAATCATGATAATGTATTATAAAAGAGAATAGTGCATATTAATTTTGATTTTTAAAAAAATTAATCTTAACTTAAGAAATACTACTATTTAATAAATATTTAAAAAAACTAACTATTAAATTTAATATCTTATTCATAAAGATTTATACATATCAATTTTTAAATTAATTAAATATATATAATTAGTTCATTGA